AGCCAGCGTAGGGCTGACTCGGGGTGCTTCTCGACATCGCCGTGGCGTATAGCCGGCGAGACCCTGRGTTTGCTGCGGGAGAAGTGCATGACTTCGGTCTTTTTCGGGTCAAACGAGACGCCATTTGCTGCACCCCATCGAACCATCTCACCGATGGAGCTGGAGGCCGTTGCAGTGGTTTCATCTATTGTGTCGCCTATAGAAAGGATAGCCGTGTCATCTGCATAGCCAAAGCGGCCCCGAGGGTTGCCCAGTCGGTAGATCGGCTCAGTGTAGAGTAGGAAGAGTATTGGCGATACCGGCGATCCCTGAGGGAGCCCGCACTGAAGGGGAGCAGAGGGAGTGGTGGTGTCTTGATATCTGACCCGGGCTGATCGATCCATCATGAAAGACTCGGCCCATCTAGCCAGATGGTCGGGCCAGCCTTGTTCACGGAGACGCAAGACTAGTCTGTTGCGCATGACGGTGTCAAAGGCACCTTGGATATCCATCGTGACCAGGGTGGCCACCTTCTTGCGTGCGAATGCTTCTTCGATATCGTGGATCAAGGCGGTCACCAGGTCTGTTGCCGACCTCTTGGGCAGTGCTCCGGCCTGCTGCGAATGCAAGACATTATAGTATATGGCGGCCCATGCTAGACGGCGTGCTATCAGCCGCTCCAATCCTTTGCCAAGGCAGGAGAGCAAAGAGATCGGTCGCCAAGCCCGTGGCTCTGTGAGATCGCGTCGTCCCGGTTTGGCGATCATGACCACCTCCGCCTCCTTGAATAGTTTCGGATGATGGCCTGCGGAAAGGCATCCTTCGAACAAGCGGCGGACATGTGTCCCGATGATGTGCCATACGGCTTGGAGAAGATTGACGGTGATGTTGTCTGACCCTGGCGATGTGTTGCCTGTCTGGACGGTCGCCCACTGCGCCTCTTCCAGCGAGATCTCGGGCGAGAAAGGGATCAGGCTAGAAGGAAATACTGGTGTCCATGCGTTTACGATGTCGTCCTCCGCAGTTCTTCGTTCAAGCGTAGCCTGTCGGAGTGCGTTGGCTTTATCCATCTGGGTTTCGTAGACGACGCTGTCGACTTGTAGAGGTGGCGGCTGAAAGGCTCCTGGGGACTTCAGCCACCGGACAGCTTTGAAAACATCGGCACTGCTGGAGAAGCTGTCGACGAGGTTCCGCCAATAGTTCCTCTTCGCGCGACGGGTCACACGATGAAAGTCTCTTTTGGCGATCTGAACGTCCTGGCTGAAGCCGAGAGGGTAGCTTCTTCTGATGGCTCGGAAAACAGCCGCAGCGTCGGCGCACTCCTCCGTCCACCAGGGAGCTGAACGTCCGCCTTTCCGCGCGGGCCGGCCAGCTGCCTTCGCTGCTGATGTTAGTAGATTTACAAGTGCAGACGCAAGTTCGTCAAGCTCTTCCGAGGTCGAACCGGTGAGGGGAATTTCCGTGGCTCCCAGTTCTACAATCTCGGCGAACCGCTTAAGCTCGTCTCTCGTCTTAACTCGGATCTTGGCCGGTTGTACCGGAGTCGATCTGACGTCGAGGAAGGTCAAGCTGAGCGTGAAGTGGTCGGAGCTGGTGGCGAGATGGTCCTCGACGGTAGCTTCGGCCAGTGGCATATTGGTGAAGGCCAGGTCAATCGTGTTGCCGTGTGGATTTGTCGGGATATCTAGGGTGTTGAGGAGGCTGAGGTCATTCTCTGACGCCCAGCCTGCTATCTCGTGGCCGCGGTTCGTCGCTAGGCCCGTCTGCCAGCTATGGTGCCTGGCATTGAAATCGCCAGCAACGAGGCAGCGCTCCGGAACAGGCCAGCGAAGCAGCGTGTCTAGGGCATCCCTCTCGTCATACTGGCGATAGAAGTTGGCGATCGTCATGTCGTTGATCGTGAGCCAGAGGATATCGCGAGTCTGGAAGGGTCGGATCTGGTCAGCGAGAAGTCTTGGGTCTCGTCGGACATATGTCATCACTCTAGGCCTAGTCTCGTTACTGTCCCATACTTCGACGGGCGTGAATGTGTCGTATGCAGGATGCGTTTTGGTCAGACAGCGAGTTTTCGTATGAGTTGTCCATGGCTCCTGTAGAAGTACGATGTCATATCGTTCCGAGTCGGCGAGTGCTAGAGCGCAGTCGTGAGCTGGAGGGATCTTGCCGACGTTGGCCTGGAAGACCTTGAGCGGCTTCCTGTCGTTCTTTCGTGTCTGCGAGTATCTATTCCTGGTCATGAGGACGAGTGATGAGTACAATTCGACGCTTTCGTGGTGAGCCTGGTCTAGGATGCTCGGGCTCCTCCATTTCATAAGCCGCCCTAGGGGCGGTGGCCACCATGATGCACGAAGGTGCCCCTGACGCGACCGGGCTTGGGTCTCGGACATCTGAACGTTGGTCTGATGCGGCATCGTCCCTCAGCATCTCGGTAGTGTCTTGTCGGATTTCCATGTGAGATTCTGGTTGTGCATCCAAGTGTCGTTGTCGGTACGTCTCGGCGCCCACGATTCGGACGTGTTCTCGTTGTTCTTTGCTGAGTCGGCGAAGGATGCCTCGCACTTTCTTCGGCCGAGCTGGGCACCTACGAAGGCTGGCGTCGTGAGGGCCTAAGCAGTTGACGCACTGTTCCCACGCAGCACAGTCGTCTACAGAGTGGCCAGTCCTGCCACAGCGTTGGCAGACTGGCTGTCTATGGCACTTGCGGGCAAAGTGATAGCCCCAGCACGTTTCGCACTGTTTGGGTATGTCGGTTTTATCTATAAGTCTGGCCGCCCGGCTCCCGAAGAGGGACCAGAACCTCTTGGTGGGCTTCAGAAAGGACACAAGGAGAGTCTTGGTCAAAGGGTTATCCGAGAATTGTCTTCCGGGACGTATATCAACGGGCTTGAGCCCTGTCTGGATTTCTATCTCATCACTGACAACGCTGTCACTATCCACCTCGTTGCCGCGAAAGTCGGTCAGTCTTCTGGGAAAGTCTGAGACCACGTAAGTATGCCATTCCTTGTTTGTTTCTACCGCTGTAGCTCCCAGCTCAGCCGCCCACTCGGCCTGCTTCTCTACGAGAAAATCGCGTGTTTCATGGTCGGCAGTCAGGACTGCCCATCCCG